GCTACATACCGGCATACCGGCATACAGCTGTATGCATCTGTATGTATCACGCACGCACGCCCACCGCAATCAGCAGCAATCTCCCAGCGAGCCACTCCATTCTAACCCTAGCAATACCCAGTCCTATGTTATCAACTAACATCATCCTATCCAATCACCGTACTGGACATCATCTCTATCCTTGAACCGCAATACCGTTTCTTGGAGCTACCCTAGACTAGACTAGAGTAGAGTTACGGAGTCGGAGTTACGCCGCGGAAACTAACAGTGCAACACAGATTGTGTGTGAGCGTAACTACACTAAATGGGGCATTAAATGTAATTATTTGGCATTATTTGGGTCAACAATCATTTATATGTTATTATATAACAATAATTAAGTAAATATTGACCTAAGGAGTTTACCAAGGAAACTTGAACTTGCCTTGGTGAGCTTCACTTTCACAAAAGCTTTCGCTTTCATGCAATCATCCGACTATGCATACGACGCTGCTCTGCGATGATTGGTCCAATACTCAAGCGTCACAGGCGCCATGTTGAGTCCAGCAGCGAACCATTAATGGCGCTAAAACTATGCATCACTGATCTCTATAATACAATAAAATAATAAAATAATAATAATATAAGATTATATTATATTATAGAGATTAGTGCTATGCATGCGGCGTATTATACGTATTGCGTATTATGTATGTATATACGCATGGGTGTTTTTTTATTTATTTTTTATTTAGGTAATTATCCATGATATATATTGGCATTATTGCGTTTATCCAGAGCATATAAATCAACTTGTTGATCAATATGTATCAATATGTTGATTTATATGCTCTGGTTTATCTGGCCTTGCTCTGGACATCGTGACAATTATTACGCTAAATTGAAGCTGATTGGCTACGCCAAATCGGACAAAACAAAGCACCATCTCATCTCATTATCTTATTCTCTGGACGGGCGGGAGATATGACATTAATTATTTGCTGTGCTTTTAAATTAGGCGACTAATGTAAGCCTTATCAACGTTGTCACAATTGTAGATTCCGACTCCAGGGAAATATGCTATCAACATGATCAATAATCTCAATAAGAACATTAGTATATAATAATACAGGATAGTATAAGAACATATATTTGATATCAACCGCAAAGATATGTTAATTCATAACTATACTGCCTAATAATATACTGCCTGTAAATACATGCCTAATAACCAGAGGTCCTCCGAAGTTGGCCAAAGTCCATAGACAGGGAGCCCATGCAAGTGGGAGAGGACAGGGCACAGCCCTGATGCATTGTGGCGCCCCGCAATACACGAACGGGAGCGCAGGTCCAAATCGCCGTTTCCTTGCGGCAGTGGCGCCATCCAAACAACGGGGACAAAAACGTTGTGGCGGGCTCGATATTTGTTTTTTTTGGGGGGGGGGGAGGGGGGGGTTTTTGTTTTGTCGCGGGCAGCACCACACATTTTTAATAAGTATACCATGTCCAAATCATCGTTTTATCGCCTTGTTATTTGTTTGCCTGGGAAAATCAAAGTACATCACAACAACGCAAAGTTTAGTATTTATCTGATTTACTGATGTAGAATTTTCACATGGCTGAAAAATGTTACGACCGGGAGCTTCTGACCTCATTCCGGGGCAGCCGGGAGCAGCGTGTCATACGGAGTCTCCCGGTGAGACCGGGAGACTCGTTGACGCTCTGCTAATAATAGGCTATATAAGGCAGTTATAATACGTAACACGTGTGTGCATGTGTGTGTGTGTGTGTGTGTGTGTGTGTGTGTGTGTGTGTGTGCGTGCGTGCGTGCGTGTGTGTGTGTGTGTGTGTGTGTGCGCGCGCGCGTGCGTGTGGTGTGTGTGTGTGCGCGCTCGTGTGGTGTGTGTTTGTGTGTGCACGTGTGTGTTTACGTGCGTGTGCGTTTACGTGTGCGCGTGTATGTGCGTGCGCGTGTGCGTTTGTGTGTATATAGCAATCGATTACACAACAAACCATCTACGAGCCCAATCCCGGAAAACACAAATCATTGCCTTCCATCTAAAGAACAAGGAGGCGAACCGCCAACAAGAAAGTCAAATGTTAATGAGAAATGGCTGACACATACCTATAGCCCAGTCTACCTAGGTGTTACTTTAGACCGCTCTCTAACTTACAAGGATTACATCATCAAGACAAAGGCCAAAGTGGGTGCCAGAAACAGTATTCTAACGAAGTTTGTCCACTACTAAATGGGGAACAGACGCATGAACAATCAGAATCACTACTATCGCCCTGTGCTACTCTGCGGCTATGCGTGCAGTATATAGTATGCGTGCGGCCGCTGTCTGGAGTAGGTCGCCCCATGCTGCAAGGAATCTACTCAGTTCTGAACACTGCCTGCAGAGCCATTTCTGGATGCTTGAGACCAACGCAACGTAGATGACCTATACCCTGCTGTGGCATTGCTCCTCCACAACGTTATCAGATGAGACTACCCAAGTAGAGAAACTTAAGCCAAGAAAATGACCCCTCGCCATCCACCTCTTCCATCATGAAACGTACAGAAGATACTAAAGTCCAGGCAGCAGTTTCATCCACGCGGTTCAACCCTGATGGAAACCTCCAAAACTAGCAGATCGCCCAATGGTTAAAGCCTCTTCAGGCAAGCCAATAATAAGCTTTCACTCAGACCCAAGGAATCCCCTCCCACCCGGGCCAACGAGACATGGCGCGGCGAACGTGGTTATGCCCTAAAGTCGCCTCAGAGGACAGTCGGGTTTGGTCGATGCAGGGCACTCATGCGCAGAATATGTGGATACACTGAAGATGGCCCAACCGAATGCGACTGCGGGGAGGACCAGACTATGGGACATCTCCTGAATTGCTCCTTATTACCAGAGCCCTGCAGAACCGGAGACCTTGCGGCTTTCAACCACCGTGCCAAGTCCCGTGTGCTGCAGTGGCTAGGCCGAGTGTAGTGTAGACCCGAGAAGAAAAAGCAATCGATTAAATGTGATGTCGCTGCGCCATCTATCGGGTAAAATCATTCATAATCACATAGTGATGTGAACAAATATAATGCCCGTATTTCATTCAATTCTAGTATAGACATGTGAAAATGGACAACGGGTAAAAGAATATTGGACAATGCTTAAATAACGCTTATGGAGCTATAGAGGGAAGCACGCCTATCCACGTCTTCGACACTTGATCGATGGAAAGCAAATCACTGCAGTTTTAGGAAATTATCAAGGATTCTCCTGTTTTGTTCTTTTGAAATACCTATTTATTACGTAAGTATTAAGTCTCTATATTTCAAGACATCAGTAGAAGGAAGATTTCACAGGATAATGTCAATAAAGTTAGGGCAGCAAACTAATGGTTGCGCACATCGACTGTCAGACGCGATCGCGCAAAAATTCAAAAATACATCGGTTTAGTTCATAGAAATATATAGAAACACCTATATAGTCTACTTTATATATTATTTCTACGGTTCAGTAACTGAAATTAATCATAAATTTTCGCTCTAAGGTTACATTTTCTCCTCCACATGGCTATATATACGTGAGCGTAATACAAAACGTAGCCTGCCAAATGAACGCAATTGGAGTTATGCCACGAAAAGTATACGGATCCGCTGCCATGACCTAAGAAATAGAGGTAATCAGAAATCGCGCACGCAAGCACGCACACACAGTGACACACGCACGCACGCACGCACACACACACAGTGAGCCACACACACGCACGCAAGCCGCACGGCACGCACGCACGCACGCACGCACGCACGCACGCACGCACGCACGCACACACACACACAACATACACACATATATCAAAGGGTTAATAATGACAATTATTTATTTGTCATTTATTTATTTATTATTTTTTTTGACAAACAATTTATTTGTCATTATTAACCCCTGATATATATAGATAGACAGATATACATGCTCTGGTTACAACTGTGTTGGCATGCGCAAAACAGACGTTGATGCCTTAACACCAGGAAATCGCTCGCTCATTCGGATGAGGGTATCTCGTAAAAGAATGTCAAATGAATAGAACAAGAGCAACTAAATATACAATACAATAAAACGACAAGTGCATAAGTATAATATAATATAAACATAAGTGAAAATCATTTTGTAAATGCTCGAAGTTTCACATCACAAACACGCACGCATGCATGTGTATGACGAATGTATAACAATGTGACAAATGGTGCTAGCACGTCCTAATAGAAATGTATACTAGTTAGGGTCTATGAACTTATCAAGTATAGACATGCCGGTTTGTAACATCAGTAAAAGTTACTCCACGTCACACACACGCACGCACGCACGCACGCACGCACACACATTCACATATATATGTATCATTACAATCATACACGAATAAATTGATGTGGTGTGCATGTGCATTTGGTTCTAGCAAAAACTCTTGGCGCGAATGGTAGGCCGGGCAGTAACCCCAAGTATATTCCTAGAAGGTTGGTGAGAAAATTTTCTGACCTCAACTGATTTATGGTGAGGTAAGACTAATCTTAAAGAATGGCTTCAATAAATAAGCCACACGTATGGTATAAGGTTGATGAAATAATATCTTTCTTTAAAACTTCATTTATTTAAGGGTTGTTTCTAATTTTATCAGGCGAGGGGATTTGGTCGTCTGGAGATTCAAGGGGAGCAGCTTGGCGGCGCGCGGTGCCAACGGCGGTACGGAGCTAGTGCAGTAGACCGGAGACGAGGGCTCATGGCGTGCAAATATAGAGGATTAAAGGACGCGGCGTGTATGGGTTGCAGGGAGATGTGCAGATGTAGTCGAAATATCGAAGATGTGTACTGAATGCCGGAGAGTGCGCTTAAGTGGGTTGTCGCGATTCTAGGTGCATTGTCTTGTCAGAGATGCATCGAGGTGAGTTTTGTGAGACGATGTGTATTGCGGTCAGGCGAGTCATACATTTCATACTTTTGCGTATACACAAGTAAGATATTAAACCTGAACTCTATATTCGTTAGCTATCTTAGGAAACTTTCTAATGGGATAACTTTCTAACATATATCAATGTTTACTTTTGTGTCAATATCATGCAACAAACATATTTTACAATGCTTTAAAATTTTTTAGCAAGCCGGTCCCCTAGTTAATTTAATTTACTGCCTAATAAGAGCACGCTCATAAAAACGTAAAAATTTTATTTAATAATTTATCTAATAAGAAACATTCACTTCAACAATCACCAAGTCACAATATTACCAGGAGTGAAGAAAAAAGTATTTACTCACTATTGGTATTACACATGTTGAGACTTCTAAACTTTAAACGTGAGTTTCAATGAGAATAAAATATGAGTACTATGTACACATACACATACACCAGTGCAAACACCACACATACGCACGCACGCACGCGCCTGCTACGTGGTACAATTTCCTGAAGACACTGCAGTTAAGTATAGAAAATATCCTCCAGGGCTTTGTTTATCCTGTTGTAGGTTAAGAGAAGGTAATCAACAGAAGCATGTCTTCTGTAAGTTTTAAAATATAGCATACATACCAGCATGCTGCATACTACACCCTACACATATACATAAATATGTATGTATGTGTTATGTGACCTAGGCCACTGCGGGTGTAAGGAAAAACTGCAAAAAATAAGCAATGTACTGTGAATTCTCTGTCAACTACATGTATGTGGTTATGACCGGTCAGGTTGACTATCAGATGATGCTAGGTTTACTCTTTAACATCATTGCAAGTGGACACTGCCGCTGTGGTACTCTCTGCTTTAGGTGTGGATTCAGCCTGTGGCGATTCTATGCCTAGGAGCTCCCGAATGATGTTTGCATAGTATTGACCAAACACCGAACGGTTGTGTGACACTAGCCTCAGGAATTGACCTGACACCTGCAGCAAAAAGATGACAACGAATGTGACACATTACGTATGTAGTATAGTACTTACATATACATACATTACTATACACACAGTAAACTTACTGAAACAGTGTGCAAAAAAAAAACATCTCATTTTTGATTCATTGTACTCAGTCAATCTGTGTTTGTTAAAGTGATCATGAAGGATTAGATAGGGTAGCTACTAATAACATCAATGTTCATCTAACCTGCATAAGTTCCACACTCATGGCTGCCAGTCCTGGAGGAACCTTAATTGGGCTAGCAGTGGTAGTGGTAGTGACATGTTTAATGAACTCCATCACTCTAGATGCTATGAGTAAAATGAAAACAGATAAATTAGCATTATAAAATAATATTAGTCATGTCAATAACTAGCTTTTCTGATAGCTCTAGAAAGAGGCACTGTCAACAAAGGTGACCACACTTTAAACCTTATTATTTCTGTGATAAATTTGATGAAAAACAATTACATTCACAGATAATTTTAGCAAAATGTGGATGATTGAATTAAACTTAAATTGAACCAATAAATGAGTTAAACATATTAGTTTTTGACAAATTTTAAAGAATGTACTTTAAGAATTGGTAGTTTAAGAACCAATTACGGCCACACGTTTGGCCCAAAATTTAGTACGTACTTGGAAAAAGATCTCCACAACTGAATACAACAAAGATAATCTACATTAAATATAAATTTACATTACAAATGATAGGCCTACATATGGCATGTAATTATGCAATTATACATACTTACATATAAGCTTATGTACTGGGTGGTTACTTTCTATAACATCTTTGATTTGTCCCTTGAGAACCATTGGTCTATCACCTTCAAGCATTGGGTAACCATGTTTCTCTAGACAGGCATTTACCTCTTTCTCAATCTGTTCAGCCACATTAACAATCTTGGTAGAAATGTCACTGAAATTAAGTGAACATAAATATCATGGTACTTGCTCATAATTTAAAAGTTAGAGGCTTGATCTTTTACTAGCATAACATGATTTTTAATGTAAATTTTAACTGCTGGTATCTAACTGACCATTACTACAACATTGTTAATAGATTTGTACATTATTTGTTATGCTAATTATGCTATTGTTTGTAAATTTTCCTCAGGTGACCAGAATATCCATATTATTATTGACAAATTATTTTTACTGTTATTATACAGACATGCTGTAAAACATAACATATATCAGCCTTCAATAATTTCACATATTATTCATTATTCCATTTTAACAGAGCAAATTAATTATCCAAACAAAAACACACATATTAAATTAGCTGAAGTAGAACGAAAATTATTTTTCCTACCGATCATTGACATCTTGGAGTAGAATGTTAATTTGGTCTTTTAATTTCTCCTTGAACCCAGTGATTCCACTTATTGCTCCTCCTACAGTGTTGTACGTGACCAGAAGAATTGAGGCCACTAGCTTGATGCGTTCAGTCTTATCCCGCAACTCTAAGAAGCGAGACTGGTCCATAAGAAGTGTCTGAAATATCAATTAAAATTAAACACTGGCATTTGTGTGCTGTCTTTAAAATAGTTTCTTCCAAATGTCCAGAATCATAACATTTATATACAAACATGCTATACAACGTATAGCAACCCATATAGAGGTAAAAAACACATATCTTAAACAAGATTTTAAAATTTACCATGTAGATAGTAATCATATTACCTCTGGAAAAATTTTCTTGTCATCCCACTCAAGAAGATCCAGGTAACTACGTGCTATGATGCTAGTGGGGCTCACTACTCTGTTCCTATTTAGCTCCCGAATCAAATCTCCCTCTGGTGGTGAATCCACAACAAGCAGCTTGTCTTTGTTCAACTTTAACCATTTACGTGTAAACTCTAGTCCATCTAATGAAATAAACCAAGGGAGACATTAATATTTAATAATGACACAATACAAGCAATGCATTATAGGCAACAAGAAAATAAGGCTTCATAAAAAGTTGTACATTAATTGTTGTAAACTGTAATTAATTACTTGCTTAGCAAGCAAGGTCATTGAAATGAGCTTCTGCTCACATTAACCCTCTAAAATTAAATAACTTTAAATAATTTTCTCAAAAATTTAAGGCAAGATATTGTTTTAACTTTCCATTTGTGTTTCACCATGCGCCTACCTCCGGGATGGGTGTCAAGAAATTCCTGGAACTTTACACGCTCGTACTCTACACTGTGTTGCTGTATCGTGGGACGCAGCTGCTGTAGGGTAAAGTTTGCCATGTCCAGCTTCATGTGTTCTATCATTTCTAAGATGCCTCTGAAATAATGCACGAGTACACTCAATCTGCATCGGATTACTGCAGTGGTGCACGCAAATCAATAGTAAACTATCAGTGAACCATAACTGCATTTTTTGTGTGAGACAGCTTCGTACTATGAATGCTATTGCTAAATGCACACTGAAAGTGCTTTACTAGCAACTGTTCACTCTAAAACAGAACTTTGTTCAATAAAATTTTAACTGAGACTGGATCACACAGTGATGAACTTTCCGAGGAGCTATTACTAGTTTAATAATAGTATTAATACGACAACAATAGAGCAGGTATATGTGCATTTATACAGCATCACACAAGGTTTACACTAGTTTACTTAAGTCTGACATTAGTACCTATATAGAGGTACAATCTCCTTGATTTCTGTTAGCTCCTTGATTTTGTCATCCCACACCGGTGCACATAGTTTGGCCATGACGGACAGAATGAATTGAGCGTAAATGTTTATGTCGATGGCATCGTGCTCGGCCTTCTGACGAATGAGATCCAGGTCTAGCACTTCATTCACCTGTGAGCGTAGCCGAGTGTGTTGTGGCAGCAGCAGCGAGATGAGACCCTACACAAACATAATTTACAATAACTCACATGCCTGCTACAAGCACAACACTTACAGAACATGAAGGGGGCACAGCAGGGCCACAGCTAGCAGGGGAAAAGGGGGCAGTTGCCCACCCTGCAGAAAAAAATAGATACAATATATGGTCAATGGCAGTCACTTTTCCAGAACACACCACCCACATGGCATTGCCACCAGCCAAACTGGGTTAGCTACGATCACACTGTTATAAATATTAGAAGTTTGCCATGTGCTTGATGACACGATGAAGCTGCTTTCCGATGTGATAAGATTTAGAAATTTAGTACCTCTTTCACTTCCTTTAGTAGTGACATGGCTTGATCATAGCGTGGAGGATCATCACGCAGCTGAGCCATCAACATGTCCCAGAATGCTTGGTGCATTATCACTTGAAAATGTTTCTCTACACTAAACACAACACAAAATAATGTCAATAACAGAATAATTTCAGAACATGTAAAGTATCAAGGTTTTGAAGCATAAATGTTTTAGTATTTATAGTCTATCTAAACTACTCTTCTCTTTTGAATCCGTAACGTTAAATTGGTAATGGTTTCAGTACACATAAACCTTCTTCATTTGAGTTGTATTTTATGCCATTATACCTGTTTTCTGGCAGTTCCACTTTCTTGAGTTTAAAATTTTGGTCCACTGCAATCTCATGTGCCAGTGCCATGTTGGTGACACCACTCGCTACCTTCATCAGTTCTTCTAGGCTAACAAACTTTGGTGGCGAGGCTGGAACAAAACAAACCAACATTTGTACACTGCCATGAATCCACTACATAACTTACAAGTCATGCTCTGCACTAAACCTTTTTCATAATGAACTGTTAAATTGGCAATGTTTCTAACAATGTGCTCATATATACATTTTTTAAACCACATATCATTAATTAACTACCATGATTATAAACGTTTTACTTCCTGTGCTGAATCAGTATATTACTCACTTGGGTAACAGAATATGAGCACTACACATTGACAAGCTATCACAAATGTTGTTGTAAGAAAAAATTTCTCAAACAGATTGAAAAACTTGTGGTATTTAATCCCACGCAAACCACTCTGATATGCTAACGTGAAACCACAACACAATTTTACTGTAATTCGTGCTTTTAAATCTGTAAGCCACACAAAATGTTGCCTATGTCATACCTGGCCCAAGCCTAGTTTATCACCACTGATTAGTTTAGCACATATGCAAAGACATATTTGCGCGGTCCCAAATTATCCTTGATCCTCATACCTTACCTGCAACCATGAATGGCAGCTGGCTAGGTGGCGTGTTCAGTCGTTGTCGCTTTGGTATTTCAGCAGGTGCTGCTGCTACGTTCCGACTTTGAGACCCGACTTCCGATTCAGGCACGGCTTCAGCAGCCTCGTCTGGTATAGCCTCAGCACCATCTTTACCCTCAGCACTCGTTTGGTGATCATCATCCATGCTATCAGAGCAATTTACTATGAAACAATACAGCACTGTCAGCAGAACGGCCTGTCTGGATTTGTATTTTAAGTTATACACAAAGAAGGCCAAGTGAAAAAGTACGTAGACATAGAGACATTGCTGCAAGCTGCATTAGTGCGTAGCATAGATAAAGCAAATCAAAAGTGCACCAGAACTGACTTGGCATTGACTCTTTGTTCCACAGGCACTTGGGCCGTTTCAATAATAAAATGATGGTTAATAAATACAACTTGTCAGTACTAGACCTACCAGTACCAGTAATGGACACCCAAATACACAGTAATACTAATATAGGGTGTATTACTATTGCACGAAGGGTCGTTGTCGTAACAGGTACTACAGATATGTACCCGAGGTAGTTTTAGGTTGTTTAGTATTATGTTTATATTTTTATATGAGGTATGTTTAGGGTTAGGGTTAGAGTTAGGGTTAGGGTTAGGGTTAGTGTTAGGGTTAGGGTACACTTCTGTAGTACAAGTCTGGTACACTTTGTGTATACATATATGTACCTCGGGTACATATCTGTAGTACCTGTTACGACAACGACCCCTTGAGCATTACTATTAGCCCTATGGGTGTATTGGCCTATATTACTGTGTATGTGTGCACGGAATGTGTGTTGCAGCGGTGTATTGGACGGTATTGAAGTGAAGTTATTAGGTCAAATCAAACATTAAGACTATTACTATTAGTGTCTAGTAGGCCCTAGGGTCCCTATATACAGAGAGTTGCGCCAACTCAGGATTTGACTCCATGTTGTTTCCAAATGTATCAACACCGCTGCCGCTTAAGTACAGCGCTGTATAGATAGGCTGTACAATGGTCCGTAGTAATTAATTAGACTAATCGTGCTTCAATAAACTCAAAATTTACAGAGATTATAGCTAAGACATGTGTCTATGTGTAGCTAGATTTATAGAAATGTAACTCAAATCGTTCGCGCCATATGATAGTTTAATTGTACACGTACTTTCTTACCGCCCATAGCCGTGCGTATAATAACCTGTGCGATACCGCGCGTAGATACTTGCTAATTAATTAAATCACTCGCGCTTCAATAAACTCAAGAATCACAGAGATCATAGATAACACATGTGTTTATATGTATCTAGATTTCTAGAAAAGTAACTCAAATCGTTCGCGCCATATGATAGCTTAATTGTACAATTTCTTAGTGTAAACACAGCAGCTAGTCATTTTGGAAGAATAATGACAACTGTAATTCACAAGATAAATGCGTTCCACTCTCCACTCGCTCGCAGCTGTAACATGTGTTTTGCAGTTCTAGAAATCTAGATACACATAGACACATGTCTTAGCTATAATCTCTGTAAATTTTGAGTTTATTGAAGCACGATTAGTCTAATTAATTACTACAGATCATTGTACAGCGATCACGTGACCGATTTTTTCTGACTCGTCATGTCGCAACTATCTGTATATAGGGACCCTAGTAGGCCCTACTGACAAGTTGTATATATTATTATTAACCATCATTTTATTATGAAACGGTCCAAGTGCCGTAGCTCCAAAAAACGGTATTGCTAGGGTTAGAATACCATTGGTTGTATAGACAATCCGTCGCACAGCCTGGTCGGGCTACAACTTGTGCCTGTGCTTTGTTCATCGTAAACTTTGTCTCAATGTCTGTGTTACAAACTAAGCAACGGTGAAACAATTTATATATCCATAATTTCATTAATTTGTTAAATCGCTAGACGTATATGCCTGGTAGCTAAAAATAGTTTACAACCCATTTAAACCCATGCAAGTAACTCACCTAAAAATGACCTCGTTCACTCAGGCACTGACTCACTTTGATAATGCTGATCAAAGATCGTAGAGTGATCCTAGAGCCTACGGCACTCTAGAATCTTTGATGCTGATCGACAACAACGCGCTGTTGTTTACGGATGTGACGTAGAGGACATCATCGCATAGGTTTATGGGAAGACGCTTTTAAAATGGCGGGTAATGTTGAATTAGTGAAAATGGATCACCGGCAGAAGTTTGAAGAGACAAGACGGTATTCAGGTATGTTTTTTCGTTAACAATAATATGTATACTTTAATTTATTTCAGACTGAGCTAGTACACACGGAATTCTATCAGTCCTAGGAAATCAGGAATATAAGGGGGGACGTATGACGTAACGGTAAACTAAAGCAGTAAAGGGGGCCGAAGGCTAACACAGTATTAAACAGTGACACACTACACAGTACTACTACTACTAGTACTAGTACTACTACTACTAGTACTAGTACTACTACTACTAGTACTAGTACTACTACTACTAGTACTAGTACTACTACTACTAGTCAGTACACTTTCTAGATACAATAATGTAACCCAAACCCAGGATAGGTTTACAACGTGAGCGTATGGTTTTCTGTGGAAGAAGTTTAGGGAACCCCTGAGTGAAAATGTTTATATTTTTATATGAGGTATGTTTAGGGTTAGGGTTAGAGTTAGGGTTAGGGTTAGGGTTAGTGTTAGGGTTAGGGTACACTTCTGTAGTACAAGTCTGGTACACTTCTGTAGTACAAGTCTGGTACACTTTGTGTATACATATATGTACCTCGGGTACATATCTGTAGTACCTGTTACGACAACGACCCCTTGAGCATTACTATTAGCCCTATGGGTGTATTGGCCTATATTACTGTGTATGTGTGCACGGAATGTGTGTTGCAGCGGTGTATTGGACGGTATTGAAGTGAAGTTATTAGGTCAAATCAAACATTAAGACTATTACTATTAGTGTCTAGTAGGCCCTAGGGTCCCTATATACAGAGAGTTGCGCCAACTCAGGATTTGACTCCATGTTGTTTCCAAATGTATCAACCATTTGATGTATGAACCAAAATGTATCGACCATTGTACAGCGCTGTATGGATACGCTGTACAATGGTCCGTAGTAATTAATTAGACTAATCGTGCTTCAATAAACTCAAAATTTACAGAGATTATAGCTAAGACATGTGTCTATGTGTATCTAGATTTCTAGAAATGTAACTCAAATCGTTCGCGCCATATGATAGTTTAATTGTACACGTACTTTCTTACCGCCCATAGCCATGCGTATATTAACCTGTGCGATACCGCGCGTAGATATACTTGCTAATTAATTAAATCACTCGCGCTTCAATAAACTCAAGAATCACAGAGATCATAGATAACACATGTGTTTATATGTATCTAGATTTCTAGAAAAGTAACTCAAATCGTTCGCGCCATATGATAGCTTTATTGTACAATTTCTTAGTGTAAACACAGCAGCTAGTCATTTTGGAAGAATAATGACAACTGTAATTCACAAGATAAATGCGTTCCACTCTCCACTCGCTCGCAGCTGTAACATGTGTTTTGCAGTTCTAGAAATCTAGATACACATAGACACATGTCTTAG